TGGTTGTCCGTCTCTAAGTGTAGCCCTGTGATAGACTGGTTACCTGTCCAGGGTGTCCCCTGCCTTCACCCTGAGTCAGCTGGGATAGACTCCAGCACCCCATGACCCTAGTGAGGATTAGGCAGTGTATAGATAATGGATGGATGGGATTAATTACTGCCAGTCCATTTGCAGTTTACATTAATTTCTGTGTGATGCCGTTAAATAATGTCCAGGAAAGTGTTTTTACAGAACATCCTGGTGTCACAGTGAAGCTGACCTTTGACTTTTTGGATATAAAATGTCATCACTTTATCATTTCAATCAATTACACATTCAAAAAATGTTAATAATTACCATAAGTAATCCAGATTCAAGCCAATATTAAACACAAAATTGTGTTTAGTTCATCTTAGAGTTCTAGTGAACACTTGTGTCAAATTTGAAGTGAAGTGATATTAAACTTACAAGACTGGGATTGATGGACGGACTGAAAACACAGTCAGCGCAGAGGCATGAAAATGAATTAGTAGCTTATACAATACAACACATTGTCAGTCATTAAACCAGCATGGCAGGACGACCTCTCACAAAGAGCAGTGTCGAGTTGATGCCCTTTGAGTTTTAAATGTTTCAGAAGTCTGTGAGATCAATGAAGGAAAATCCTTCAATATTTCACAAAAAGAGAGAAAAAATGAGTGTAGATCTGTGTAGCAGTGGTTTTCTACAGTGTCAATCATCCCACAAAACCTCAGATTTATCTTGCAGCTGATGGACGGGGCTTCACCAGCAGACTGGGACCTACTGGACTACAGCAGTTCAAAGCAGGACTTCTATAATCTGACGTAATTAGGTCTAAGAGTGGACAGATTATGAGCTATATCGGATCAGATATTCCACATTTTTACGATTACCTGTGTAACTACTTTAAAAAATATATATATAAATTCAATCAAAGATGCCAAATATCAGCTATCAGTCACCTTGACGACTAATAATCAATATTGGTCCTAAAAATAATCAGTGTTTTTCTTGTTTCTATGACTTTCAGTGTAGTAGTTTGACATGTGATGAGTATTTTGATATATTTGTTCTTCTATCACCGCTTGAAACTGGATTATCATGTGATGGATCGGTTTAAATTGTTGGAGGTTTTCTTCACAGCCATTTAGAAACAATCAGTTTCCTGGATGTTTGTTTACTGGAGATCTTCACTGATTTGTTCTTTAAGTTGAAGGAAACTGGCTGCACTATGTAATAAAATGTAGTCCACCACTAACTAACCATGCTGAACATTATAAGCTACACAGAGACAGAGTTCAGCACTGTGCTCATGGACTAAATAACTTTAAATTTTGCAGATGAAGCCAATAAACCCAACAGATCATTTTAACTCAGCTGAACATGTACAGAACGACACACCTCTTCTTTCACTATGTGTGGAGTTGTGGTCACTTTGGGTTCCTCGGAGTTGCTCATTTTCGCCTGAAAATGAAGGAAAGTGGAGTCAGAGAGCCTTAAAATCAACTTCGACACGGTTCGAGCAGAGAACGAGGCGCTCAGTTAGCGGCTACAGTCAAACAGCAGCAGGACAAACCAGAGCTGCTGCACATTAAAGTCTCTGTTAGCTTCTCTGTTAGCTTCTGTGTTCACCAACCGGCAGCTGGCTGCTTTACATTTTATAGCGCCACAAGTAAGAGCCGCTCGTAGGGTTTAAACTTGAAATAAAGCTGGAAAAATGGGGAAAAAACTAAACTTAACTCACGTGAAGTAGCCGCCGTGTGTAACTCCGAACAGAGAGAGTAAAGAAACGAAGAGGAGTCACTCCGCCGACATGTCCCGGTTCCGTAAACCTCACCCGAGTTGAGTTTTGTCACAGACTACATACAGTCGTCCTCTAATTTATTCATTCATTAAAGAAAAGGCAAAATTCACAATTCACTCAAATAACTAGAAATTGAAAAAAGTAATAATAAATAAAAATTTGCTCAATTATAATTTGGTGAAATTAGACATTGCTTATGAATTTTGGTTTAAAACAATAATTAAAAATAAAAAATAAAAAAAACTGTCCCGGACAAATTAGAGCACTTTGCTGATGAGCAGTGAGCAAAAATCCAAATAGCTGTCAACAGGTGCAGAAGTCTGACTGAGAGTTACAGAAAACATTTGATGGCTGTGATTGGCTCAAAGGGTTGTTCAACTAAATCTTAGTTTACCCATCATGCTTGTTTTTTAAAAATTATTTTGTTGTTGTTGTCATTGTTGTTGTTGTTATTGTTGTTTTTATTTCTGTTGCGCCACAATTCAAAAGCAATGTCATGATTGTCATTACATTTATGTTTATTATTCCTTTCATCAATTCCAGTTTATTTCAGTGACAGCTGTGTTTTATTCCTTCTTTAATGGGGGTATGAATACATTTGAGGACAGCTGTATACTGCACTGAATGTAAAGCTTTAATATTCAGTCTGTGTGAGACACTGAAGTACACAAAGGTAATGTTTCTGGAGTCACTTCTACTGTATATATTTATAGGGGCAGAGCCAATGGGGTGCCACCACAGACTGACGTGTTTCCCCCATTCAGCCAATAGTAAAGCCCGTTATAGAGGTGCCTTCCTGGAACTCCAGTTACATCATTAGTTTTCCAATATATCCTATTTTTTGCTCCCCTGAGGGTAATTGCAGTTTTGCAGCGTTTGTTTGTTTTTTTTTCCTCCATATCACAAATGCTAAAGAAATAAAAATCAAAGAAAATAGAATTTTATTTATTTATTTATTTTAAATGATTCAGAATAAAATAAGATAAACTACAGAATTCAGGAAATAATTTATTGCATTGTCTTAGATTTTGTAAATTTTTCATGACTGTGTTCATTGAGGCCAAAAATTAAGTTTAATGAAAGATATTGGATAAATTGTGAGAATATTTTTTTTCACAGCTGCCAGATTCATTTGTATATTTGTTTATTTTTTACGTCTTAGCTGGGAAGCCACATTTAGGGTTCAGTATCTCTAGACATAGAATTCCTAAAGACATAAAATTTAGCGAGAACAAGAGACAAAATTGTTTCAAGCAGATCCAAATGGTCAAACAGATCCACTGTTGAATAATCATCTGTTTTTTTTTCTCCAGTGTTCATTTAAAGATTAAATATGATTTGAAATATGAATTTTTAACATGAGGACAACATGGAAGCAGCTTGTAACTTTGTACATACATTAAAAATAACACAGACCCCTACTCACACGCAGGTCTTTGTGGTCGCAAGAATCAGTAAACATTACCATTTGGCATGTCAAAATATCAAAAAACTGAAGCGCTGGCTAAAAATACTTGCTGCACGTCAAATTCTATTGTTATTAAAGGCCTCATAAGTTGTTAAATGTTGAGCAAAGGCTTTATTTTTTCCAGGAAATATAAATACATCCGCTCTCTTTGGAAATTTCTGAGCTTTTTTCACCATTTTTAAGCACCAGTAAGTCAAAATGTCACTTCTGCTGGAAGCAATTTGTCTGTGTTCTTGCCAGATGTGACTACTGTGTGTCGAGTTTCTGGAGATACTGAACCTGAAATGAAATGTTTATGTTTTAATATGCAAAAAATTTATCATTTCATTGAATATGCTGAAATTTGCATTCGCTAAAGTGTGATCAGATGAACACCTGGATTTTATATGTTGTCTTTCCAGGTGTGTGAGCGAAGGAGTGTCATGGAAGCAGAAGTCAGTGCAGGAAAGAAAAAACACCGAATGCTTTTGCCTGTAATGTGTCGCCTTAAAGAGATGAAGTGGATCTTCTGTTTAATAAACGATCTTCGTTACGAGCAGGTTTGCCTCATTTCACGCCTATGTGTGCATCTCAAAAAAACGTCCCCCTAAAACACAAATTAAAACATATTAACACCGGTACGTGAAACTTTACGTTTATTACTGTTTATCAGTTCGCTTTAATTTATTGAAAAATAATGAAGATAGGACAGCAATGATTAAAAAATAAAATCACATTTTTAATGCACGTAATGAAACTAGTTGCTTCGGGGTTTTCATAACAATCGGGGAGTCGGAAGATATTTACTGATGGACACGTTTCCGTTACAGGATATTGCAGCATGAAGAAGGAGCAAGTTGTCAACTGTCAGTTTTCGGTTTGGTATCCGATATTCAAGAAACACACGATTAAAAGGTGAACAGCTGCTGTCTGTAGAGAAAGTCCAGGAAATATTTTCATTGTTGTTGCAGTAAAACGCAGCCCAGTTAGCCAGTTAGCTAACGTTAGCCTCCACTCAGACACACAGAGCTGCTGCCATCTCTAGTCTGTTGTCTGTCTTCATATTTAAACTGCGTGTTACTAAATTGTTGTGTTTAAATAATGTTCAGAGCAGCTTTCCTTTAACTCCCTTCTCTCCGTTCTGTCAGTGTGCTGTCTGTCAGTCATTCTGGTATTTCTGTGTATTTATACGTGATGGTATTTGCTTTATTTTCCAGCCTGATTCTTCCACTGCCTCAGAATGTAATAGATTATTTACTGGACGATGGGACACTGGTAGTCTCTGGAAGGTAGGAGGACACACACACACACACACACACACACACACACTGAAGTCATACACACATATAGTGTTCAGGTTTCCATAGTTGTGGACACCAGAGATGATGAAGTGCTGCAGCCTGAATAAGTACAAAACTAGAGTAACACAGCCTGCATATCCTAGACATGTATTTCCTACTAACTTCTTTTCGTCATAGCGGTCCTGTCATTTCAAATGAAATCTAATTTATTCGTTGCATACACAGTTATACATGGTACAGTCATCTTAAAAAAGCAACAACTCTGTTCCAAACAAATCCAAGAACCCTTAAATGGAAGTAAACAATGTCATATGAGACGGACTTCTCATGTAGATTAGTCATAGAAAGTGAGCACTCTGTGAATTTTTTGTATCATGCAGCAAAAAAAGATGTTGAATGATGTTTGAGATCATTTGCGTTACCACTTCCTGCAAATTGCGCCGTCAGTGGTGAATCAATCTATCATGCAGCCCTTGTGTCTGTGCATTATGATGCTGAAGTTATGTTTGTCTTTACATCTCTTCTCTAATGCAGTTTAAAAAAGTTTCTAAGTGTGACAGTTGTCCTCGTTCTGTGTTCTCTCCAGTGACCATAACACGCAGCAGACTCACACTAACAACAGCGACTCGGATGCCGAGGAAGACATTCAGGTAAAAGATTAGATTAGAAAAAGCTGGTCACCAATGAAGCAGTACAGAATCAGAATCAGATCCCAGAGGGGAGATTGCTAAAGTTACAGATGCTCCCATTCAAGTCAGAAATATAAACAGAACAAAATATA